TCGGTAGCATGAATGATGCCGATCATCATAAAGATGGGATCTCATTATCATCATCCTCATCCTCAAAATCTATTCCTCTGTGGGAAAGAATATCAAAGAAAATGTTGGAGATTGGGTACAAGAGAAGTGCCAAGAGATGCAAAGAGAAATGGGAAAACATCAATAAATATTTTAAGAAGACAAAAGATGAAACCAAGAAGAGACCACTTGACTCAAGGACTTGTCCTTATTTTCACCAACTTACAGCTTTGTACAGCCAACCCTCCTCTGGGACCACCACCACCGCCACGGCCACCGACACGTCACCCGTAGAGCTGGAAACCCGACCCGAGGATAACGGGGTTGGATCGGGAGATCCAGTTGATATTCCTGTAGCCATGCATGTAGATGCAAATGGTGCCGGGGAAAAAAGCAGTGTAAAATTTTCAGGTTTTGATCTTGCCTTCGAATAAACCTCAATACAATAAAATGATAAATATATAAATACATTACCAGTTTAATTCCCTTTTCTTGTTTTTTTTTTCTTTTTGAAACCTCATTTTTGGTTATCATGAAAAAATTAAATAATAATATATATATGAATAATATCATTTACTGTTTTGACGCATCTATTGAAACGTACACTTACTATTTTAGTTGGACAGTACTCGTGCACCGACAAACCGTGAAATTTAGTTGAACTTGAATAAACTATGGGTTAAATTCTAGTTCTGGCTTTTTATGAACTTCACACATGTGACGAGATAAGGTTTTTCAATAAGAAATGTTGAGAACAAAAAAAACTGTATACGTGAATTCTTCTTATGGAAACTTCATTCAGATCAACTTGTACGTTTTTTTTTTTTCCGGAGCCTAAAGGTGGAGAGCAAAGTAGATGATGGGTGGCCGGATGAAAAACTCTGCTTGGTCTTCAAAATTTAAAACTTATTATACATCTGTTCCATGGTCCCTGGCCAAATTATCAATTTTTTTATTTATTAAAATTAACCGAAAAATGCTTATGGTTCTCTAAATTTTATATCCGTCGAGAAATGAAATTTCAGAATTGCGACAAGTTAATTATGTCTCATTTTAATTCAAATCAAAGTGGAGGCAGTTAATCAAAGAGAATACACGTGGTTTCAGCCATGGTTAATAATGATCAAAATATCGCGAAAATGGGCTTTTTAATCCTCAACTACTTGAAATAGGCAAGTTTAATAATGAAGTATTGCTTGCATGGTTTTAATCCCCAATTAAATGTTGACTTGGCAAATTAATGATCAAAATAGTCAGACTTTAAGTTTTAAACGGTTTCCGTTAGTAATTATCAGTGATCTTCTTCGAACCTTTTTGGCAAGTTAAGAGGGTTTGGTTCCGATCTTCATCTACTACCGCAAAGGTTTTTGATTTAGTAAGGTTTGTATTACTGGTCCTGATTCTAATAGGAATGCTTTCTTTTCAACCTAAAACTTCAGCTCAGGATCTCCCTTTGAAAAATTATTGAGTCTACGGTAAAGCAATTGTTCTTTTAATTTGTGATGATGTACTTGTAAGTTTTTCACAATTTTAGTGAAGTAAATAACCCAAAATTGGCATAACATATAAAGTAGCGAGAAATTTACAACACAGAAACCTGTTTGTGTTACTACTATTACCCTCACTATACCAACAGAATCTCGCATGTTTGAACACACGTATCCCATTAATGAAGGAAATAGGAACAAGCCGAAAAAAGTAAACTCACTCCACTTCTTTGATGATTCTTCTCTTGCGCAGAGAATCAGGGATTATGTAATAAATGTTCCTGGAGCACTCTCAGATTTTCTTCGGGCAAGTGCATGCGTCTATATTTTACAATCCAAAACCTTCAGTGCGAATTTTGTCTTTTTAGCCGGAACCTCGCTTATCCAGAATCGCATGTAATTGTGTTTTTGTAGGGATTTTAAGTTTTAGAGGAGCACACGAGTATAAAACTAATGGAAACCGTTTGTAAGTTAACGTTTGACTATTTTAGTCTTTAATTTGCCAAGTCAACGCTTAATCAGGGATTAAAACCGTGCAAGCAATACTTCGAGGTTAAAGTTGCTGATTATAAATAGTTGGGGATTAAAATGTTCATTTTCCCTCAAAATATCAGAGATTTCGAAAGAAATTTGACCAAAAAATATTTGTCTATTTTGTTTCAAAAGTGTTGTCTTAATTTCACATGTGATATGGTATAGTTTTAATGTACGTAATGTCTTGTTGTATTCTTGTTTCGTAGGATAACGATAAAAGATGATTCATGTCATGTTTTTTTTTTCAACTTCTATTTACAGCACACAATTTGAAATGTTAACTGTGAAGTGTTTTAAATTTATGTGCGCCTGTAAAAGTTAACGTTCGTTGGTACATTAATTACACCTTTTAGGGATAGAAAAATTATCATTTTTAGAATAAGAATGTTTTTTTAAAAAAGAAAAATAAATCTTGGGAGTTTCCTCCGATATTCCTACCAAAAAAAAATGGAAAAAAATCGCATTTGATGCTTCTATAAATACGGATCTAAGAAAAAATCTGGATATAAGAGATTGTAAATTATTATTTCGCATAATCAATATACTAACTATAGATATTTTTGCCTTAATTTCTTTTTTCAACATTAATTCGAGTTTCTCAACAACAGAGGAAACATAAGACTTATCTCAACTTGACATACATTTTCATTTAGAATCACTTTGATGTAAATCGTAGTGAATATTGTTAGCTTGTATTCACATAACTGTCAGACATTTTACTATAGATTTGCGATTGACTTTAGCAATCATCAGTAGCTAGTTAGTCTCTGTTTTGTTACTAAATATTGTTACAGTTACAATCTGTAGCGAATGTCATAACAAAAGACCCATAAACTGGTCGAATTATAGCCATATATGATGATAATATACTATATTATGATAACCATACATCACAATGTAAATAGAACTTTAAAAAGAAGAGTTAACAAGTTGAATGTGTTCACATTTCACAGTTCTTACACACTGTATTACTTAGCTGTGATCAGTTGTTGTTTTGTGGAACAGTATACTTGTTAGGAACCTCGAAGCTCAATGATAGAGATGGCACTCACTGTTAGAGACATTAGACATATGTAGAAATATTCTATTAAATTGTAATCAAAGTCGTAGTATGATTTATATATATCCACAAACCACAAACCACAACACGTAATTCAATAATTCATACACCTAACAAAGAATTGAAACAAAAGAAAAAAAAAACAATTATTCTTAATGCACGACCGACGAGGAGTATACTATCCAATAATCAGTATGCATAGACAACTTGAGCTTTTTTTCCTGTTGCCGAAAGGTGTCTCATAGTGTAATGGATTTGTTTGTTTTTTTGTGTGTGTTTTCCCTGTTTCAATATCAATCCTTTTTGATATTTAATGTTATTGTTAATTGAATTTCAAAATAACTATGAAAATTAGAAGAGGTTATGGATTGAAGGTGCATAACTCTGATTTTTTTCTTAAATTTGGATTTTCCTCTTTTTATCTGGTGAAACATGGAGGACTGCATAGTTAATTAGTACAAGTAAACAACATAACATAATACTGATAAGACTGTATTCACCAAATGGTTACCTTAATACCCTTGCCGGAATCTCTCCACCGTCCGATCACGGCTCCATCAGACATGCATTATGGGGTTTCATTCGCTTGAGATAGTGAGAATTATTATTTTTAAAGTCATTTTGTTTATGTGTAATTGGCTGACTAGACACCGTCCAGATTAGTTTTTAAAACAATGGATATTAGCTTGTATCGATACTGATTTTAATTTGGATACAAATAGTTCAGACTTCATAAACTCTTTTAAAGATTTTGGTTTTATTTTGGATTGATTTTTATCAGGTTTTGGATTGGTTATGTTTAAAATATTTGAGATAATTTGTTTAAATTTGAGCACAAACAAATAATAATTAATTTTCATAATTTTCTTTTCATTTTTCTCTTCTTTGCAATAGAGCAATGTTACTGTTTACCTAGCGATAAACTGACCAATTATTTAAGAAAATGTCATATTTTTATAGTGAGAATATGGGGGTTTCATTCGCTTGAGATAATGAGAATTATTGTTTTAAAATTCATTATGTTTATGTGTAATTTTCTGACTAGACGATCATCTAGATAGTTTTTAGAACAATGGATATTATAGCATGTATTGATACTGATTTTTATATCTAGATAGTTTTTAGAACAATGGATATTATAGCATGTATTGATACTGATTTTTTATATCTAGATAGTTTTTAGAACAATGTATATTATAGCATGTATTGATACTGATTTTTTATATCTAGATAGTTTTTAGAACAATGTATATTATAGCATGTATTGATACTGATTTTTATTTGGATACAGATATTTTTAGATTTCATAAATTTTTTAAAAGGTTTTGGTTTTGTTTTAGATTGGTTTTTATCAGGTGTTGGATTGTTTTTCCAAATATTTGAACTAATTTGTTTTAATCTGAGCACAAAAAAAAAGAAGAAAATAATTAATTTTTATGATTTCCTTTTTCATTTTTTATAGCATGTATTGATACTGATTTTTATATCTAGATAGTTTTTAGAACAATGGATATTATAGCATGTATTGATACTGATTTTTATTTGGATACATATATTTTTAGACTTCATAAACTTTTTTAAAGATTTTGGTTTTGTTTTAGATTGGTTTTGTTTTTTCAAATATTTGAACTAATTTGTTTAAATTTGAGCACAAAAAAAAAGAAAATAATTAATTTTCATGATTTCCTTTTCATTTTTTCCTTCTCAGCAATAGAGCAATGTTAACTGTTTGCCTAACAATAAATTGACCAATTAATTAAGAAAATACTATTATACTGTTACAAAATTACTCTAGGCGTAATATTAAAACAATTTAATAGACATTACATTAAATAGAGTGACAGGATATATTTATTTATTTTATTATAAAAGTCGATTTACGTCTCTCACGGTAACTCTGTCGTTTTCCTCACACTCTCAGAGACAGAGAGAGAGAGAGAAGAGAGAAGAGAAGCAGCAGGGTCTCATGGCTAAGCACCTTCTTTCCCATCTTCCTCTCCACACTCACTCCTTCCTCCACTACGGTGCCGTTTTGTAGCTTCTCCTCTGTTAATGCCGCAACCACATTCCTCCAATCTCTCACCGACACTTTCTTTAGGTTTGCTCTCTCTCTACTCTCTACTCTCTATCAGTTTCGAACTCAAAGACTCTTCCTTTATTAGTCTCTGTTATGTTAAATCGGTTAAGACACTTGTTTGGCCTTGATTCCTCCGAAACGGTGCCGTTTTGAAGTCAAAGACTCTTCCTTTATTAGTCTCTGTTATGTCAAATCTTCTCAGACACTTGTTTGGTCGTGATTCCTCCGAAACGGTGCCGTTTTAAAGTCAAAGACTCTTCCTTTATTAGTTTCCGTTATGTTAAATCGTCTCAGACACTTGTTTAGTCTTTTCATTACCGTAAATGTGAGTGTAGAAGCGTTTTTTGAGACCAATTATTGCAATAAAGATTTGAGTTTTAAAACAAGACAAAACTAAAAAAAAATGGTTTCAAGATTAATTTTTTTTGTTTGTTAATTGGAGCATGTGCTGTTAGAAAGAGTCAGTTTTTTTTCATGATGTGGATACATTTCATTTTCATGGCAAAAATTTGACTTTACTAAGTTTTGGTGGGTCGGCAAAAACCATAGAAGATTCGTGCAAAGAGTGTTTTCTCACTTTTATTAGCTTATACTAAATGTTTCACCTTTTTAGCTACTTTTCTTCCTCTAATCTTTATGTGTCCGGAAAGGTACGGTTAGTGTTTGCTTCTTACAAGAACCATGGTCTTATAAATGAGATATGATTATTGATGTTTATCTTCAGATTCTACAGAAGAAGATAGTATTTGTTGAGGAGGTTTTCAATGGAGCATTACGAGGTTCTTGAGCAGATTGGGAAAGGTTCTTTTGGTTCAGCTCTTCTTGTGAGGCATAAGCATGAGAAGAAACTGTAAGAACTTGTGATCACTTTAGTAGAAATTAGACAGAATTTTAGTTTAACTTCAATGTTTTTTTTTCCATGTGATGTCTGTAACTGATTCTGTGTTGTATTCTTGATTCCTGAAGGTATGTTTTGAAGAAAATCAGGTTGGCTCGGCAGACTGGTAGAACAAGAAGATCTGCTCATCAAGAGGTTCATTCTAATCTCAATGTGTTAAACACAACACACATACACTAACACTTGCATATTTTCTACATGGATCAATCAAGTTTTATAGTGTTGCCTTCATTGAGCTGAATTTTTCTTTTTTTAAATGTGGAAGGATATGAATGTTCAAGTAATAGTTAGGCGGTGATTAGGTGCTATGAAGATTATTGCTTAGGCGGGCGTGTAAACCGATTTTCTAAATGTATAAACTGATTTTTTTGAAATTTTTTGTTTAGACCTGATTTGCCACCTAGGCTGATTGTTAGAACACTGGTTAGATGTGTTACACACACACACTTGCATATTTTCGACATGAATTAAAATCTTTTTTTCCACTAGCCATTATGGATAAAATTTGTCTGCAGTATGAAGTTTTGTTAGACTAGTAAGTAAGTTGATCAAAATATTAATCTAACCACAATATATAAAAGCTTACTTGAAACATGAGTGTGCACTACTAGTATCTGAATGCTACTGTGTTATCACCCTTCAAAGAAATGCCACAGATTATGGTTTTATGACTAACAGTTCTCCTTGTTATCTCCCTGTAGATGGAACTAATCTCAAAGATTCGAAACCCATTTATCGTCGAATATAAAGACTCTTGGGTTGAAAAAGTACGTTTGTTAAGCCTCTATGTTACTTAACTAGAGATTTATTTGTATACAATTTAAAAGCAAATAATCTTGTCTCTGGTGTGTGTGTTTCCAGGGATGCTATGTGTGCATTGTTATAGGCTATTGCAAAGGCGGTGACATGTATATTCTTGTTTACTTCTCAGAATTGTTTTGCACATTATTGACTCTGAAAGGGTATCTGATACAATGTATCTTATGCTTTACAGGGCTGAAGCAATAAAGAAAGCCAATGGAGTAGAATTCTCTGAAGAGGTATTGTTACACACATCTGATCTTTAAGATTATTAGTACAGAAAGTTCTTAATCTCTTTTTGTCTTACAGAAACTCTGCAAGTGGCTGGTACAACTCTTGATGGCTCTTGAATACTTGCACGCCAGTCACATTCTCCATCGTGATGTCAAGGTTAGTTGTGATAGCATAACGCAAACATTGATAATCTCCGTGTTTGAAGCTTACTGATAGAAATCTACTGGTTTGATTCCAGTGTTCAAACATATTCTTGACAAAGGATCACGATATACGTCTAGGTGACTTTGGACTTGCCAAGATCTTGACATCAGACGACCTTGCTTCTTCAGTAAGTATAGGTTTAAGACTTCTTCAATGATTTGTATTTGGTCTCAGTCTCTGAGATGATTTTTTTTCTAATCAGGTGGTTGGAACACCAAGCTACATGTGCCCTGAGCTTCTTGCTGACATTCCCTACGGATCAAAGTCTGATATTTGGTCATTAGGCAAGTTTCTCATCCATGTGCTAAGACACTAAGAGAAGAAGAAAAATGTTTAACCTGAGTTCTATTCTGTTACAGGATGTTGTATGTATGAGATGACAGCTCTGAAACCAGCATTCAAAGCCTTTGTAAACTTCTTCTCTATCCACACCTTCAAGAATCATGTTTCCTTTGTCTTAATCTGAACTTTCTGAATTTTAGGACATGCAAGGGCTGATCAACAGGATAAACAGATCCATTGTTGCTCCACTTCCTGTGCAATATTCTATTGGCTTGTAAGTATATATTCTTATTCTTAAAGAGCTCAACAAAAGCTTCCATTTAATTTGTGTTCCTGCTTTCTCCAGTCGAGGTCTTGTAAAAAGCATGCTGAGGAAGAATCCAGAACTCAGACCAAGCGTAAGCACGATTCTGTTGTGATCATTAAAACCGTAAGCTGTGACAAATCTGATGATTAAGTTCTTATGTGTAGGCTTCTGATCTTCTCAGACACCCGCTGCTTCAGCCCTACGTTCAAAAGGTACTTCTCAAGGTGAGCTACCGTGGACAAGATGCATTGTCTGGTCAGTTACCAGAATCTGAATCCGGGAGGAGAAGAAGCTATCCTGAGCAGATAAGGCTTCCTTCTGGCAAATGCAAGAGTTATGGTCCAAGCAGGTTTGAGGTTGACCAGGAGGATTCTGTTTCTTCTGTTAAACCTGTGCACACGTACTTGACCAGACGCAGGCCAGTGGATTTGTCTACCAAGGACAATGGTGGAGTTCGTAGACCAGCTGCTTCCAAAACTTCAGGGGTTTCTTACAGTTCGAGATGTGTGCCAGTGAGATCAAGCCTGCCTAAGAGTGGTGGTCTGGTAAGTTATTTGTCCAGATACTCCTTTTATCCTTTATCTTTACTAGTTGCTGATTCAGTCTGTTTTATATTTTTGACCTGATGTATCAGAAGCCAGCAGCAACGACTCGTAGAGCCTCTTTACCCGTCTCACATAAACCTACAAAAGGAACAAAAGACACTCTCTACACTCCAAACATCGGTATACTCCATCAACTAAACTCTCCAGACGTGTCTGTAAACTCACCAAGAATCGACACAATCAAGTTCCCACTAGCTTCATACGAAGAAATGCCTTTCACTCCCGTTGTTCGCAACAAGAAGAACAAAGGATCTTCCAAAGGATCATACAGCCCTCCTCCAGAGCCACCACTAGACTGCTCAATCACGAAAGACAAGTTCACGCTCGAAGAACCAGAACGTGAATCCAAAAGCGTCTTCTCTGATCAGAATGCAACTGCCGGAGGAGCATCAAGCAGAGCTTCCTCAGGTGCATCAAGGAGTAGACAAAGATTTGATCCCAGCTCATATCAGCAACGTGCTGAGGCGCTTGAGGGGTTGCTTGAGTTCAGTGCGAGATTGCTTTTGGATGAGAGGTATGATGAGTTGAATGTGTTGCTGAAACCGTTTGGTCCGGGGAAAGTGTCGCCTAGAGAAACAGCGATATGGTTGTCTAAGAGCTACAAGGAAACTAGTACTAGTAAGCAGGAAGGTTAAGTTCTTTTTTTGAAACTTGTTGAGGGGATGATGCTTCTTCTTCCACGATTTGTTAGAAGTTGTTTGACACTTAGGCTGTGTTCTTTGAAGCTAACACACTGTTATCTGATGATAAAGTGAGATCAAAAGATACAGGTTTCTGTTATCTCTGTAATAGTTATTCGAATTAGAACTTGGTTTAGAACTTATGAACCACATAGTTCAAGTAAGAAGTATAAATTGCATTTTAAGTATTTACATTGTTGATGTTCTCACACCTTTTTTCCTTGATGAAAAACGAAGGGTGGCTATATCCAAGACCAACCTTCCTTAGCCATTGAACTTATGAACTTGCCATTTTGCATATAGAGAAATGCTACTTATATTATATGAGATCACTTCATCACATTTTCTTTTTAAATCTATTTAAATACAAATCAATATAAAGTTTTAGTTTAATTATAAAATTTGTCATGAACCTAAAAGTATTCTACCCTGTGGAATAAATTAGACTAATCTTTCAAGGAGAATGTGCAACCCACTGATAAATTCGTTCTTTCCGAATATTCAAGTGAAAATTCAAAGCATCTCTCCATATCCGTTTGGTCACAAATATTTAGTGTTGTTGAGTCGTTTTGAATTCAGATCACTTAATTTCCCATAATTCACCTACTAGTAGACTATTCATGTGTGGTGAGTAACTCCATAGAACCTGACAATAAAGATTACATACACTAAATATATATTTTATATATACTCCAAATTTATAATGATCTTTATTTTTTTAGAGTATAGTGTTATTGGTTATATATTTTTGCTTTCAGCATTTTGGTTTGATTTTTATTATTTTTAATACCCTAATTATTATGTATTAATATTTCTACGTAACATCATAATATAGCTCTTTTAGGTTCAATGGGCTTTACAGTTTGGCCCATCACTAAGAAACGAAACCCTAATAAAAAAATCTGAAAGTGAGAGCCACATATAACCAGCTAGGGTTTCTAAGCTTCTTCTTTCTTCAAACGCCGCTGCTCGTGAGAAAAACTCGTTAAACCGGAGAGAGCTCAGTTTTGATCTCGGGAGGAATCTCAGCAGCCATGGCGGAGAAAGCAGTCACCATAAGGACAAGAAAGTTCATGACCAACAGACTTCTCTCTAGGAAGCAGTTTGTAAGTCCCAATCCTTACCACTTTGCTTCTGTTCTGTCTCTATGTTTCATATGATGTTTGCCAGTGTAGCTTCTTCTACAAGAAATGATTTAACTATTAAGGAGATTAGCTATTAATTGTTTTTTTATTAGATTGTGTAATAAGTTGTGATGGTTCCTTGTGATGCAGGTTATTGATGTTCTTCATCCAGGAAGAGCCAATGTTTCAAAGGTATAAACTTTACTCTTTATTTCAAGAATATTTTTAGTTATATGCATTCTTGTGTTTTATTGGAGATTTGTGAAGATTCTGATTTTTGTGATTGGAATGTTGTTGAAGGCTGAGCTAAAGGAGAAGTTGGCAAGGATGTATGAGGTTAAGGACCCAAATGCAATCTTTGTTTTCAAATTCAGAACCCATTTTGGAGGTGGTAAATCTTCTGGGTTTGGTTTGATCTATGACAATGTTGAGAGTGCCAAGAAGTTTGAGCCCAAGTACAGACTCATCAGGGTACAATTCTATTTTCCTGTCTCTCTTTAACTTTTTTGGTTGCAGTTTTCTTTCCTCTTTAGTAAAATTGTTGGAGCCTAGTTTTTACTCTTGGGGCTTCCATGTTACCTGCATTGCTAATATAACTAAAATTGTTTGATGTGAAAATATGTGACAATATAAGAGTTTTGAATATTTGGAAGTTTCATTTTACAATTGATTTTTGTTGTGATTTTGACAGAATGGACTTGACACGAAGATTGAGAAATCAAGGAAACAGATTAAGGAGAGGAAGAACAGAGCCAAGAAAATCCGTGGTGTTAAGAAGGTGAGAGATCTAAAACTCTTTTAACTAACATTTTGCAAAATTATTTGTTTTGTGCTCTTTTTTCTAATTAAATGGTTTGTTTGTTTGTGTGTAGACCAAGGCTGGTGACCCCAAGAAGAAGTGAGGTGTTGAATAGAGCAGCCAGCTGGAAGAAGGGTTTTAACCTTGCATTATCCTTTGCTATTAGACCTCTTCTAATTTACATCTCGATTTTGTTGTTGTCACTGTCAACTCGTTCTGTCTCGGTTTGGATTATGTTTTTAGGTAACCATGATCTAAGTTTTTGCTGAATACATTCATTTAAACTTCTGTCTCCTTGAAAATCCTTTGCTGAATACATCGTAGCTTGCACTAATACCATGTTAGAAACCTGAGATGAATTAACGTTTCTCTGATGTTATTTTCATTACATATTATACAAGTGATTAGTCTAATGGTGTCCAAATTATAAATCTAAATCTGGCTGTTCTTCTAATCATAAGTTTTAAAGCAGTAGAGAAGATTAATACTATTTGTCACCAAAAGCTTTTGTTCGTAAAAAGATTAAAAAACCAAATCAGGCTATAACAATATGAAACATATCATCCCATTTTGTGAACATGCATGCAAGAACTTAACATGTTTAACAAGTCTTTCTTTGGGGTTTAATATTTGTTACAGTTGGTATTAGAGCAGTTAGTTATATTTATTTTGTTGACCAACTATAAAGCTACAAGATTATCTTAAAAGGTTATTCATCTCGAAGCTTGTCTTATCTTAGATATCCTCATCAATGGTTATAACAATTCCACAGAAAAATAATAATAATGAAGAGCATATGCGCATCTTAGTCTGAGAGGAAAAATCAAATTTGTTTACAATTTGTTGATCACTGTCCTATCATCCTATCTTAATAACAGAAGATATAGTAACTTAATCATAGAAAAAGTTCATAGTGCTTTTAAATAGTAGTGTTAAATTTAAATGTTATCTTAACATAATCTATATATTGTGTAGTGCATGGTGTTATTTTCAGGCTTGGCAAGATGACACAAACTTTTACATGTTCTTGTTTATCCACTCACATTATGAAAGATGACACAACCTCCTCTTTATACTTTCACATCACAGGTCCACATCTGAAAGCAGCATACTAATCCTTTTAACCATATATACATTACTATACTATTGTTTAACCACTCTATACCATACTAATCTATATATTGTATGTCAGTGTAGATTTAGAGACTTACCAGTTCATTTTTCTTTTCACCATTGACACTTTCGTCCAAACTTCAAAGGTATGACTTTACTTTTTTCTAGTTTATCCATGAAAACATCATGTAGTATGGAATTGTGAGTGTATACTTATCTTAAATCTGCAGGAGTTTCTAAGAGAAACTAATATGGAAGATCGTTGCTTGATCAAGAATGATGTAACTGAAGTAAATACTCTATATTTTTTTCTTCTTTTTTTATGAGTTAATCAGCTTTCTTGAAATAAAGAACATGTCTAAAAGCCTCTGTTCTTTTTTTCTTTCTCATTTTGTATAGTTGATTGGTAACACACCAATGGTGTACCTGAACAAAGTTGTTGACGGTTGCGTAGCCCGAATAGCCGCCAAGCTTGAGATGATGGAGCCTTGCTCTAGCGTTAAAGACAGAATCGCTTATAGTATGATCAAAGATGCAGAAGACAAAGGATTGATTACTCCTGGAAAGGTTTATTTTCAAAAACCATATAACATCTCTAGTTTCATTAAGAGTTTTAATAAATGTAACTGAATTATTTTTGGTTAAAGAGTACATTAATTGAGCCAACAGCTGGTAACACTGGGATAGGACTAGCCTGCATAGGTGCTGCAAGAGGCTATAAAGTGATACTTCTGATGCCTTCAACGATGAGTTTGGAGAGGAGAATCATTCTAAAAGCATTAGGTGCAGAGCTTCATCTCACAGATGTGAAGATAGGCATTAAAGGAATGTTGGAGAAATCTGAAGAGATATTGAGCAAAACTCCTGGTGGTTTTATTCCACAACAGTTTGAAAATCCTGCAAACCCTGAGGTTTATTTATATGTTCTTGTAGTCTCTCTTTATCTCTATTGTTCTAATGATTTTGTTTCTTGAAGATTCATTACCGAACCACTGGTCCGGAGATATGGAGAGATTCAGCAGGGAAAGTAGATATATTGGTGGCTGGTGTTGGAACTGGTGGAACTGTTAGTGGTGTAGGGAAGTTTCTCAAGGAGATGAATAAAGACATTAAGGTTTCAAGAACTTCACTAATTCTTGAAAACCAACTTTAAGTATGTTATATTTTTTTTTTCAAATAATTTATATAACTATGTTACAATCTTGATCAACAGGTTTTTGCAGTTGAACCTGTAGAGAGTGCAATACTAAGCGGAGGAGAACCAGGTGAGGGAATAACCCTACACATCATAATCACTTTCATTTTGGGGGGCCTTAAATAATTTAGTTAAGACTAATATTTTTTTTTAAAACAATTTAAGAGTCTATGTTTATATATATTATCTCGAAAATAAAACAATTTATATATATTATCTCTAATAATAATACTTTTGCAGGTCCACATCTAATCCAGGGAATTGGTTCTGGTATCATCCCAACCAATTTGGATTTAAGCATTGTTGATGAGGTCATTCAAGTAAGTAGCTGAGGTTTTATCTACTTCTTGAATCTTGAAACATTGTTATGAATGAGATCTGCATGCAATGTTTTTGATTCAGGTGAAAGGTGAGGAAGCTATTGAAACAGCCAAGCTTCTTGCTCTTAAAGAAGGATTGTTGGTGAGATCAGTTAGCGTTTCTTTTTCTTGGTTTATAAACTATGAAACAAACATAGGAGCTTGTGATCAGCTGTGATGATCTGGCAGGTGGGAATATCCTCTGGAGCTGCAGCAGCGGCTGCGTTAAGGGTTGCAAAGCGGCCAGAAAACGCAGGGAAACTCATTGTGGTAAAGCTTTTGACCATAAGCGTTTTGAGTTAACCGATATTATTAAATATCCTTTGGTTCTTGTCTGGTTTGCAGGTGGTTTTTCCCAGTGGAGGAGAGCGTTATCTGTCGACTAAACTGTTTGATTCTGTAAGGTTTGATGCAGAGAATTTGCCGACTGAATTGTAGCATGGTTGTTACAGTTTGATTATTCCTGGCCACTGTAAAATCTATGGATGTTACATATTCAATGATCAATAACTGAGTGGCATGGATTGTTGTTTCTGTTTGTGTAAAATAAAGAAAGATTATAAAGTGATATTTTGTAACGTATTCAACAAGGAACCTAGAGAGGAGAAATCTTCCCAAGTGAATGAGAACCTAAAGCAGATTACTATGATGGTATGAGCCAAACCAATGTAATAAAATTTGAAATTATCTTACAATGTATTAAACCTCTGTAAATAATGTAAATCAAACAGACATGGAATAATTATGTCAGATTTCTATTGGCTAAATTTGAGGCAAAAATGAGAGAAATTTGAGGAGAACCCTTCTTGGTGTTGTGTAAAATGATCACAAAATTGAATGGCTTATGCAAACCTATATAAATTCAAAAACATTACAAATATATATTGCGTAAACCACAAGGAAAACGAGAGAACATTAGGGTTGACCAAACAAAATGAGCCAAGAACAGCTGGAGAAACCTATAGCTTATGACATAAAAGAAGAAGAGGCCATAAAGCCTCTGGCGGCGACGGAGGACAAAGAGAAAAGTGTCGTCGCCGAGGCTTCCGGTGGACAGGTCCATAAGATATAATCCGATGATTTCTATACGTCTTATATGCTAAGAACTATTCAAAACCATAGTAAATAATCGAATGAATAGTAACATTGAATTTTTGTAGGCCGAGGGAGAAGTGAACCAGAAAAACCCTGAAGGTACCATAACGATCGGAGAGGCTCTAGAGGCAGCGGTTCTCACCGCAGGGAATAAGCCCGTGGAATGGAGTGACGCAGCGGCCATACAAGCGGCTGAGGTTAGAGCCACGGGAAGGACTAACATCATGCCTGGTGGTGTTGCAGCTTCGGCTCAATCAGCTGCTACTCTCAACGCTCGAGCCAACTCCGAAGATGATAAGACTACGCTCGCAGATGTTCTCACTGTGAGTAGTATAATTTTCTATAAATTGCATAATTACAGTATAATTTTTGTTTAGAAAAGATTGGTTTCTTCTAACCATGTTTTGTTCTTTTTGGGGACTTTGATGGTTTTGAAGGGAGCGAGTAGCAAATTACCGTCGGACAAACCAGCAACGAGGAAAGACGCAGAGGGAGTGACAGGAGCAGAGATGAGGAACGATCCACATCTCGCTACTTACCCAACCGGTGTGGCCGCCTCTGTCGCTGCGGCTGCTCGGATTAATCAAGCCAAGTGATACACCATTCTTCTTTCTTGGGAGACACGTAACTAATGGTATTATGTAAACTTACAACTATATATGTATATATGTTTGATGTATATAAGATTTTAAAGCTACATTATTAGTTCAACGAATATCCAGAAAGATCAGAACGAAATACATAAGTTAAACAAACATGGTAAGAAAACTCTCAAGTATTGTATCCTCAGCCGGAAAGAATGAAGAACAATCTCATCAACAAAGATCAAAGAGAGATAAAACAGCACACAGAATAAATCGATACAAACTATAACAAGGAATACAACCTAAACTAAATGGTATTCAACGAAAACTTCTCAAGAATCTACTACTGTAAGATAAAGTCTAGAGCTGAAATATTTCTGAGAAACATTGTCATGTGTTGCCATCAACTGGATAGGCTAACCTTTTTCAGGCCTAGCTCTGTCGCAACTGCTCTTAGTAAAACTTGTACCAGCTCCCTCACCCGCGTTTCCCTGGAGAAAACACAGAACGCTTAGAATCAAAATTTGATAAGTGTCTTGTATGTGTTTAGTCACAGATTCTCCTCTCTTTCAAATTTGACGCTGATTCCCGAGCTTTTTAGATATCGAAACTCCAAAAGGGTGTTGAAGAAGTGATATTACCTTGATAATACAATCTCGCACAGTGAAGGGAAAAGGACAAGTAGGTGTGCACGGGTGTCACGATTATCTTCGCGTAGGATGGTTTTCAAAGGCGGTTGCAATGGAAGAACCGAAGCAGCCTCGGGGTGAATGGTGAGTCGGTCAAGTTCTTGGAGGGTAAAGATGATTTCATCAAGTCTAGCTGTTGGTATTGGACGGTTGACTGGCAAAAGATAACCACAGATTAAAGACGAGTAAGAAAGAACATGTTAAAGGTTAATAAGAACATGGAGACTTTACCTAGATTATTCTCGTCGATTAAAAATTTACTCAAAATGATTTCACATCTTTCCATTAGCGTGATGATAGAGATTTTGCACACTTCTTCTCTTGTTGAGTGCCAGTTCTCAGTTTCAGAGCTGAAACTAAAAAAAAAAAATTGATGTAAACAAGGGAGGAAGTAAGAATGAGTATCAATCTCCCTCTCTCTGAGGTATGTTACATACAGTATAAGCCAATAACGTATAATTATGCAAATTAGTATGTGTTTGATGAAAAATATGCAACTAAAAGCCAGAAAGGACTCTTAGGAAGAGCAAGAGACATCAGCTTCTGAAGTATGAGATGCTAATATCTTTGCAGAAGAAGTAAGAAAGAAAGCAAAGGAAAAAGCTAATGATACTAGACATGCTCAACGCGAGATTACCTGCTCAGGGAAAACAACTTTTGCAAGCATTTCAAGGAGAATCTGCTACAGTGGGCAGGCATCAGCTCCACAGTTTCGATAGGCAGCGAGCATGTACGTGATGCACAGCGGTCTAGGGTTAAAACAAGCCGCTCCAAGACCTGTTGATTCAAGATACGGAAAAAAAAATCATATCAAAATTCAAGACATTAGGATAACAGAGAACATTTAAAATGAAAATGAAGCTGCTCACATCTCGGGGTGCATCAACGGTCGACTTAAGAATAATATCACCAAGACCATCTAACAAGGCCATCTCAAGGGTCTCATTGGCCTTAAGAGCTGCTGCAGGGAGAGAATTTGAAGAAAGAGCACGTCCACAATAACCAACAAGAAATATCTCGTAAACATCTCCAATTTCTTTCCAAATGCGTATCCGAGCAGGTTTGCTAATTTTCAGGTCTGTGTCACCACCCACAGAGCATATTTTCACATCTTCAACTAGTAAACGGTTGAAGCCCTCAGCTGCTACCTTCCAGAGTGAACCATCTGGATTGTCTCGTCTTGTCATCATGCACCTGAAAAAAAAACAAAATGATCCTATAAATGGGATTGCATGCACTTATCCCTTTTGAAACTTATTTCATGAGACAGTTGAGCGTAGAAGAGCCACGACATCTGCTCAATGACGGCATATAATGAGAGTTAGGTCACCTTCTCAGGTTCTGGATGACTTCCGGAAACAGGATATACTTTTCAACTGCAGGAGCCCGGAGGAGAAGCTCCACCAGAGAAGGGATCAGCTTTTCTGCAAACATCTTACTTGTAATTCTTGTGGTTGGAATGGTTTTGTCAGACAAAGAATCAGCTTTGTGTTTCGACACTTCACTGTCTGGGGTAAAATGATAAACGAGTATCAGAATTAACAATTGTTATAGAGTAAAATAACATCACGTACTTACTTGCACGGTGACCTGTGGTGCTTTGCTCAGTCTCACCTTCCTCATTTGGCAGAGCAGAATCAACTCGTGGAAGATAATGCAAAAATTCTCTTAGCAGTATGAGCCACATTGATGAAAGGTGCTCAGGAGGACCCAATGAGGGCAAGATTTCCAAAACATGACGTAGTACAGGGGGAACATGGCCCTACAGATCATCAATGTAATACGTATAAGGTGGACGCAGGAGTCAAATTCTGAAACTTAGTATTTAAGAGGACGAATGTAAAGAATAATAATAGGAGAACAGACTTACAAATTCAGTTTCAAAATTTTCACTAGTTATGATAGCCTGCTTTATAGCCAAATCTATAATTCCCAGCAGTTGCATGTACATTTTATCATCAAACATGTTCAGCGATTGCACATATAGTTCACCTGTCAAAATCATTGGAAAAGGTGAAAAAGGGAGGGTAAGATCTAAGTGTTACAACAGAGAAGAACACCTTCGTTTGTGCCATTATATTTATTGAAATTGCTCATCCAAGTCCACAGATAAAAACTCTACAAAAATGCAGGAAATTCACTGGAGAAAAAAGAATTACCTAAACCATGCAGAATCTCTTGTTTCACCTTGGATGCTGTGTCACCTGTGTAACTTGATGACTTCTGGAAAACAAGCTCATACACATCCATGACCGAATTAAGATATCGGAGTTGCATGTTTCCCTAATTCATAAAAAGCATGTTAAATAAAGTGAAAAATGGATGACAGAGTCAATAGTAGCTCGTCGATAGTTCAAGTAAATTGCGCTGTTACCTTGACACAGTGAGATACAACAGCTGTCTGCAGACAATTTATCGCTGCAAGTGATACTTCTTTACTCCCATTGAAAATGCTATTCTTAACAAAAGCCAGCAAAGACTCCCATCCTATTATAGTAGAAGTTCCACGATATTTCAGTTTTTTCCTAAACCACAAGGACCACAGTCCAGGAAAATCACAATTCACTAACCTGACCAGAAGTTGGGTAAGCTTTCAAGAAGAGGAAAGTAGGAACGGAAGAGGCGGGCTATTCCTCCAAGGACAAGCACAAATGTTTCATCCCATTGCTTCTGGGCTGTATTGCGACTGCAATTCAGAAGTGGATAAAAAGCTTAAATGTTAGGAAGTGGTAAGACTTTGAAACAAACAAGTTGTTCAAAGACTATTAGAGTGAGATGGACAATGCAAAAGACTTCCAAGAGTAGAAAACTCCTTTTGTCACCTATGATGTATAAGCATGTGCACTGCTTTCCCTCCCCGAGTGCCTATTTCTTTTCCTTGCCATTCGTCCTTTGATGATGTTGCAGCCTACAACAGAAGATCCACCTGTCACGAGAGTCTCCTAAAATGGATGTATTGAATCACCTGTTTTCCGCACCTTGTGAGAGGCGCCATCCAACATCGGGAAGATATAGTTCCACAGACAATCCTCCCACATATTTTTTGAAAGTTTGTTCCCATGACTTCCCAAAATCTGGAAAAACGTCCTGACAGCTGAATTCCTCACCTGGAAATATAAGATAGAGCGACACCAACTTGCTAAGTAAATAAAAAATGCACACTGAAAAGACAACTATGTTCTATGACGAATACCTCTGGTCGCTCGTCATCCACGAGTTTCTGAATTAACGAAAAGACTAAAAACAACAATTTCTCATGATTGACTACTACTATACGAGCTTCGTAATCTGGCTTGTTGGAATCTTCCACGCCCTCACCATTTGTTTGCTGTGGAGTGATATCAACATTACAGAATCCTGCAGGGGCCGCACAGTCACTATATATTTAAACAGAGGTTCTCTTAAGGTGATAATTACAGACTGAGATTTGGTAATTATTTACCCGATTCTTTCTCCGTTAGAGACCCATGGTAGAGCCCCTTTGCTACGAAATCAGTCAAAGTCCACAACAGGCCAATGGCTGTTAAACTTATATTCAAATCAGTCTTCTGTGCACTGTAAGCTCCAGTAACGTCTATGCACCTGAAATATTAACATTACTAACTACCATCTCCATAGGTAAAATTCTGATATCACTGACAGCTAAGTATAACAAGGAACATAGTAATTAAAAATGAGATAGAATCTTACACATGGAGACAGTCTTCCGGAAGAGTAGAAAGTCCATCACTCATAATAACCCGGAGACTCTGTGGAGAAAAACAAGGTATCAGTGACACGGCATCAGTAAGCGATGAAAGGTCATACACAGCTGCTAACTTTTATCAAAAGGAAGCCGTCCTTGACAAACCTGAAACCCGAGGGTCGCTACATCCTTCTCTGATGCGTCGGCAACAGACCTTAAAAGATTAGGCGAGGAATAGGACAAGTAAATGGAATGGGAAATTCACTATCACATACATGGGAAAAAAGCCAGAAACTGAGCAGGACACATACCTCAACATCTCAAGAATGCCAGGCCAGCTATAGTACAACCTTTCCCCACATCTCTGATGAGATAAAATTTATGCAGGAGCAGAAAGTTATATATTGAAGATGCACAAATGTTGATCTCTAAATGTTCATATCGTATATATACCTCCAGTATATGAAGGAGGATTTTTAATGAACCAACTCGAACATCTGCCTTTTCAGCAGAAAAGTAAAGAGCCCTGAGCGAGGATAGTACAGCACACTCAACTGACTTCAATTCAGTTGAATTTGATTCTGCCTAGGAAGAAGAAGAAAAAGAAGAAATCATTTTTGCATGAGATGGAGAACACA